TTTAGTTCCTTGAGTGTTCTCCAAACTTCTTTCCAAAAAGGCCATATTAGCTTGCATTCCCACCAGCAGTATAGAAGCGGTCCCTTATCACCACATCCACACCAACATCTGTAGTTTTGGGATTTCTGTGATGTGGGCTAATCTTCCTAGAGTTAGATGATATCTCAAAGTGGTTTTGATTTGCATTTCTCTGATGATTGAGGATGATGAGCATTTTTTCATGTGTTTGTAGGCTATGTGCCTGTCTTCATCAGAGAAGTTTTTGTTCAAGTCTCTTGCCCACATAGAAATAGGGTTATTTATTCTTTTCTTATTGATTAGTTTGAGTTCTCTGTAGATTCTAGTTATCAGACCTTTGTCGGACACATAACATGCAAACATCTTCTCCCATTCTGAAGGTTGTCTGTTTGCTTTACTTACTGTGTTCTTGGCTGTGCAAGAGCTTTTTAGTTTGATCAGATCCCAGTAATGGATTTTTGGTGTTGCTTTACTTACCTGGGCGGGGGTCCTCTTTATAAAATATTCTCCCACGCCAATTTCTTTTAAGTGTTTTCCCTGCACTCTCTTCTAGTATTTTTATAGTTTGCCTTAAGTTTAAATCTTTTATCCAGTGAGAATCAATTTTTGTTAATGGTGAAAGGTGGGGATCCAGTTTCAGTCTTCTACAGATTGCCAGCCAGTTCACCCAGCACCATTTGTTAAATAGGGAGTCTTTCCCCCACTGAATATCTTTGATAGGCTTGTCGAAGATTAAATGATGATAAGTAGCTGGGTTCATCTCTTGGTTGTCTATTCTGTTGCACAAATCTGCTGCTCTGTTTTTGTGCCAGTACCATGCTGTTTTGATCACTATGGATTTACAGTATAGCCTGAAGTCTGGTAATGTGATACCTCCTGATTTGTTCTTATTTCTGAGTAATATATTTGCTATTCAAGGTTTTTTCTGATTTTATATGAAACGAAGTACTATTTTTTCAAGTTCTTTGAAATACGACAATGGTGCTTTAATAGGGATTGCATTAAATCTGTAGATTGCTTTGGGTAGTATGGACATTTTAACAATGCTGATTCTTCCCAGCCACAAACATGGTATGTTTTTCCATTTGTTAACATCTTCAGCTATTTCTTTTCCCAGAGTTTCATAGTTCTCCTTATAGAGATCTTTCACGTCCCTTATTAGGTCAGTTCTCAGATATTTCATCTTATTTGGCACTATTGCAAAAGGAATAGAGTCCTTGATTGTTTTTTCAGCTTGACTGTTGTTGGCGTATATAAAAGCTACTGACTTGTAAGTATTGATTTTGTATCCTGAGATGCTGCTGTATTTCTTGATCACTTCTAAGAGTTTTGAAGTTGAGTCCCCGGGATTTTCCAGGTATAGGATCATATCATCAATGAAGAGTGAGAGTTTGATCTCCTCTGACCCTATTTGGATACCCTCGATCACCGTCTCTTGCCTGATTGCGATGGCTAAGACTTCTGTTACTATGTTGACTAGCAGTGCAGACCGTGGGCATCCTTGGATGGGGCCTTTTAAAAGAGCATCCTGTGCTGTAGTCTGGTCCATATAGACTTGTCCTTGTGGTCTTCACATCCAGTTTGTGCTCTGCGTTCCTGGCCTGATGTGGTCTTACTCCTCTTAATTCTTGAATGTCGGCTTTTTCATCACTCCTTAATAATTACAAGTAAGGAGATAAAAAGAAACTCAAGGTTTTGTTTTTTGTTGTTACTGTTCTTTTTACCAAATTCAAGGTATTTTATGCTCCATGAGTAGTTTGGAATGGTTTTCAGTGTCACCCATAATATTTAAGTAATAATTTTATGTTATTATTAATTCTTCCTAGTGTCCCCAGAGCCTGTTTCTTCACATGGTCAGGAAATGAACCACACACAGAATTTACATCTGTGTTCATCCTAACAACCTTTTCCTCTTTACCTGTCCTGAAATAACAAATAAAACTTGTGCAGTTCTCAAACTGCATAAAAAGGTTAGGCACAGTTATAAAAACCCCAACTCCTTGAAAGCAGATATGTGTAGAGCCACTGCTTACGAAGAGAGATAGGAGAGAGAAATTATACCCTCCAAGATTACCGGAGACACCAGTGCTCACCCTCACAGAATAGTAGAAGGATTCCTAGGTTTTTGTTTTTTGGAGAAGTCTTTCTTCTCTTAAATATTTGCATTTTAAAGAGGCATAGGCTCTTTGTTTTGTATTTGGGGCTGTGCAAACTGCTGGTGTGTTTTGGTTAGTCTTGTTTTTTTGGTTATAACAAATAAGCACAAGAACCGTAGTCAAAGTTGACTTTGACTCCATCTAGTGAATGGCATTTGTATGTAGAAAGCTGCTTGTTTGGGCCAGGAGGCTCACTCCTATAACCCAGCACTCTGGGAGGCTGAGTCGGGAGGATCACCTGAGATCAGGAGTTCAAGACCAGCCTGAACTAGAGAAAGACCGTTATCTCCACTAAAAATAGAAAGCTTAATCAGGCTTAGTGGGGCGCACCTGTAGTTCCAGCTACTCACGAGGCAAAGGTAAGAGGATTGGTTGAGCTCAGGAGCTTGAGGATGCAGGGAGCTAGGATGACACCACTGCACAAATAGCTAGGGTGACGGAGAGAGACTCTGTCTAGAAAAATAAATGCAACCCAGGCTGCTGTTGGTGCAACATATGCGGATATATACAACCATGTGCAGCCCCTTTATTCAGTAACAGAGGCAGCTAAAGTCAGTAAGCATGAAATTGATGTTATTCAAGGAAAAAAAAAACCCTATCATGAACAACTGCCTTAATTTAAGGTTGCAAAAAGAAAATAGACAAGCTTCAAAGAAATAGATTTTGTAGAGTAGGAGGGGACCTTTAGGAAGTCATCTTTTCCCAGACTCTTGTTGAAATGGGGGTGTCCTTGTGTGGAGGACTCTGCTCTGCCCCATTTCTGAAGTCCGTCTGTGCCAGAGAAAGTCACAGATTCTCGTGGGACCTGCTGCTCCACCAGTGCTGAGTCTGAGAGCCCTCCACGAGGAGCTGAGGACACCGTAGGGTGCAAGCTGACACTTCCCTCCTCCTTCATGTTCCAGTCTCTGTGGCCGCAGCCCTGACCACAGGACTGTCCTTCAGGTCAGAGAGTTGGCTCCACTTACAGGTACAATTGCCACTTAAATAGAAAGCTCTCTCAGGGCCTTTCTGAGAAAATGAGGGAAGGAAATTAGCTTGAGGCATTAAGAAGAAAGCGATTCTCTCCATAAACTCCTGGGCTTAAGTGATCCTTTTGCTTCAGCCTTCCAAGTAGCTGGGCTTACGGGCACCCCCCATAACCTCTGGCTAGTTTTATTTTTCTATTTTTTGTACAGATGAAGTCTCGCTCTTGCTCAGGCTGGTGTTAAACCCTTGCGCTCAAGCAGTCCAGCTGCCTGGGCCTCCCAGAGTGCTAGGATTACAGGCATGAGCCATCACTCCTGACCCGCTGTCAGAGTTTTACAAATTCTTCTTTAATGTATCTGAGAAGAATGATGTTTGCAATGGTGATAATTAATAAAACCCTGGGATACCCTGCCAATTCTGTCAGATCTATTTTTTTTTTCCTCCAAGATAGGCTCTGGCTCTGTTATGTAGGCTGGAGTGCTATGGTGTCATCATAGCTCACAACAACCTCAAACTCCTGGGCCTAAGGGATCCTCCTGCCTCAGCCTCCAGAGTAGCTGGGACTACAGGTGTGTGCCACCACCTCTGGCTCATTTTTTCTATTTATTGTAGAGATGAGAGTTCTCTCTCTAACTTAGGCTGGTCTGGAATTCCTGACCTCAAGAGATCTTCCCTCCTCCGTCTCCTCGAGGGCTAGTACTATAGGCGTGAGCCACCATACCTGGCTTTTTTTTTTTTTTTAAACTCTCCTGTTTCTTTTGAGCCCATTATCATCTGGAAAAGTTAATCTTTATTTTCACTTTTAATAGTGAACTGGACTATCACGACGCTGTGAATGTCAACGATCGGTGCCAGAAAATCTGCGACCAGTGGGACAGGTTGGGAACGCTTACTCAGAAGAGGAGAGAGGCCTTGGAGGTGAAGTCCAGAAGCCACCTGTTGACATGAGAGCTTTAATTACGTTCCTGGTGTTAATTTTCTGTGATGTTAAACAGATTGTCCCGTGAAAGGACCCCCTTAGGAAAATATGACGGGTCATATTGGTCAGGGAAAAAAAAAAAGAAAACATGAAATGCAGGAGAAAGAGAGAATGGAAAGTTGGTGGTTTTATGGTATAGTTTATCCACACAGCAGCGAAATAGACTTTTTTAAAAAATATTTTTACATATACATGCGTTTACTAGCTTTCCACTTTGTGCCTTCACAAAATCAAAAAGGCTTAAAATTTACCAACAATAACAATGTTTAAGATAAGGACTAGAAACAAAAACATTGTAAAGCATGAATGAAGATAAATACATTCATAAAAGGTAGCAGACGATTGCTGCAACGAAGTATTAAGCAATGATAACAATAATAATAATGCAAAGAAAGTAACATTCGCATTGTCAAATAAGAGTATGACTACTCTTAGATTTCTGAATGTAAAAAAATCCAAAGGCGTGAGATTAAGGTGTAAATCGCATTTGTATTAAGTAGTACTTAGAGTGAATTTCCAAAAGTCCTTCTAGAGGAGTAAATTGAGCCGTGTCGGAGTCAGGGAATCAGGAGAACCTACCTTGAGCTGTGCAAAGGAAACATGATAGCAAGTGTTCGAATAAGTTGATGTGATGCAGAAGTGGGGTGGACGTGGCCTTATCTGAGTGTAAGCCTTGGTAAATAGTGGTATAGCTGGTGTTTAACTCGACCTAATCATCTCTATCCACGTAAGACCCCTACAATGTGAAGGAAAGAAGTGATTTACCAGATTCCTGAGTCCTTTGCCCTGA